CACACACACACACACACACACACGCACACACACACACTGTTACTTTCAGCTTTTTTTACCTTTATTTTTTAATCTTTTTTTATTCCTCTTTATATGTAAATGGGTGCATTGACGCAATTAGTCATTATGTTTGCTGCTTGCCCTTTCCTTTAACCTATATTATATAAGCGCAAGAATAACCTTATGGTGGCGAAGTCCATAGGGGACTTGGCTTGGCAACTGGAAGGTCACCAATTCAAGTACCGGAAAGACCAAGTGCTACCGAGGTGACCCTGAGCAAGGCACCGTTCCATACACTGCTCCCCGGGCGCCGTGCATAATGGCAGTATTATAATACTGGCCCACACCCCACTGGGCTGGGTTGGGCCGTTTTGATAGGCTACCTATGTTCTATCTATCAGATAGTTTCACTTTCACACATCAGGCCCGTAGCAGCTGTCACTGGGCAGTGAACGATCAGGAGTGAGTGACTGAGAGACCTAGCTGGCAGTTGCTTACAGATGGATAAACAAGCTCCAAAGCGTAATGGCGTTTTTGTATAGTTTGTGTATAGTTTGTGTAGACAGTATACAGTATTGTAGCGAGCCCTGGGTTCAGAGGGAGGGGCTTGCATAGGGGAGGGGGTTGGCAGGGAAACGGGGTTCAGGGGGAGTGTACCCGTAGGATAGAAAAGGGGGAAGTGACGTCTGACTCAGAGGTCGCGCGGCGGTGGAGAAGAACGTGTTGCCCACATTCTGTTACTGAGTTTAGGCTAGTTAGCTAGCAGGTTTATTGTTTTTATTGTCACTTTTGCCTCCACTTGCTGTTCAAATAAATGTTGAAAGAAAAAGTAAATCTGTTTACAGTTCCGTTTCATATGGGTGTTGAGAGATGTATCCATAGATTTAGTCCCTAATTTTGCTCTCAAAGTGCACCAGATTGATGCATTTAACTTCAACATTTAAAAAAAAAAATCTTCCCGGGGGAGCTTGTCCCCGGACCCCCCTAGAGGAGGTGAGGTCCACCACCTGCCCACACCCCCTGTTAAATTGTCTCACCCACATTGAGGATGCTTCCTACGCCCATGTTTTATTCCATGTGTCAAGTCAGGCAAATTGGGTCAAAATGTTATTGATCTGTTAACATTAAAATCACTAAATATATGCTGTAACTATTTTGCTAGACAACTCAAGGGCTCAGGTAATGTGATTACTATATGAATAATGGTCCAAAATAACATTAAATGCATAGGTTTTTTTGTTAAGTAACATACTTCCGTCGCTGGCCGGCCGATACATGCCGCGCATTAAGTGGGCCTGTCTGTCAATTAATCCCCGGGCCACTTTTTCCTCCCAGTCCGCCCTGCATCGAGGTGTGATCGTGCCTTTGAAATAGCTTTTACTGGATCAACTGGTGGTAAGAGGCCCTCAAAAATGACACTCAGAGGCACTTTCCAATCTAATGGCCCCTTCATAATTAGGGCCTTCCAAAGCAATTTACTAAAAAGCATAACTCAGTTTTATGATGTGACAACACTAGAGCAAAGGTTTGGATATGTTTAGGCACTAAACAATTTGGTTAAGAAGTATATCTTACATTTTTTTAAATAGGAAAACCATCAGCGCCGACAGGTGTTCAAATCTGATGTTTGTTTACTCATCCCTCCCAACCGACCTCCACATGTGGAGTTTGTAGCTCAACATCAACATCATCTGTCACAATTATTGAAAGCTGCTAGAGAAATGTTCTCACGTGTTGTTTTGGGACACTGAAAGACTTCTTGTGTTGTTCTTTTCGAGACAACAGTACAGTCTCTACTGGAGACTGTACTGTTACTGTTGTATCTGAAGTTTTTAATATTTGCAGTTTGTAACTTTGCTAAAGCTGTTATAATATATATTTTAGTATGACAAACAATGGAAATATTGACTACGTGTCATGTGAATGGATGACTCTCAAAGATGAACCTGTAGAGGGACTACAGATTGAAGCGAGCTCATAAAATAATTCTGGCATATTAACATTGAGGTAAAAACTGAAATGTTGTTAAATGTGTCACACCTTTACTGTTTTGGTTCACTCTCATGTTATTATTTGTGAAGCTGCGTTAGCTGTTTTCAGCAAAAACGTCTAACAACCCCACTGTATATTATCTGGCCAGCATTAAAAGGCAGGCAAACCAAGTTAGCAACCAGCTAGTGAGCATAGTGGAGAATTTTGGAGCTAAAGGGACAGATAAAAAGTATGAGTAAGAGTTTGGATGTTATTATTATTATTATCAGGGTTATTCTTCCACTCGTAAGGACCCTCACTTACATGCCTCACTCCAATTTGCAGTAATTCTAACCTTAATCTCTAAAAAAGGGTTGTGCCTTTGGGGAATGTGAGGAATAAAACATCTAAATGGACAAAATGACCTTGCAGTCTTTACAATTTAAAGAACATATTTTTTCATTAGCAGCTTTTGTACAGTCTTGTGTAACGGCTGATGTACAGAGCAGCAGAAGAACATTAAGTGCACTTTATTGCTTTGGCAACCACATAAGAATGTAGCCATGTGTTGTGGCACATATCCATCTATACAAATGCATAGGTGTTCTCCAAAAAAAATATTTCGAGCTGTCTTCCTGCAGCTACACTAATAACATTAAATCAAGCTAACTGTTCATCAAATGACACATAGATAAAAACTCAAAATTAAAAGTTGAATTAGCTAAAATAAAATGATAATCTTAATTTAAATGATCCCTTCATTTCATTCAAATGTTCTAAGGAATGGAGACATTGCTCTAAGACGATACACAAAGTAAGACACATAAAAACACTTCTATTTCACTTAAGATTTGAGAATCTGTTTTATTCAACATTTTATATTTAATAGCCATTGTCAATTTCAGAAACTAGTTTCTTGAAAGAACAGCTCAAATGTTAATGAGGAGAAACTAAAAGATGTATTTGTTTGATGGAGTTTTTCAACCTAATTTGGTGCAATGCATGGTGACACTGATTATCTTCAACTACAGAGAAAAGTGGTTTGGTATTTACTTTTCTTGAATGTCACGCTGTCTAAATAAAATGATTTCTACGAATAAACTGGAACTAACTGACACTGAAGTAGTTAGTCACACACTCAACCTTCCATTGGAAATAGTCATTTGCAGGAAACCTTCCACAATGAATGGTTCTCAATTTTCTAGAAAATTATGAACAACTTTTGACAAATGCACCAACAAAATGTCTAACAATGTGTAATTGTAATTAGGGCCGGGACTTTAACGCGTTAATTAAGATTAATTAATTACACAAAAATTAACGCGTTAAAAAAATTTACGCATTTTAATCGCACTTATTTTTGCACCGCGGAACGTTTCTCACTGGATGAGTTTCAGGCGTACCGATTATACTGGAGCACCAACTAACGTTCATGACTTCAGACAACAACAAACCACAGTGAACAACAGTGGGAAATGTTGTTTTAAAAAACGTACGGATGGAAGCGTCGATAAGAGCACGGTTGTGTACAAATTACGCAAAAAGGAATTCGCATATCACCGCAGCACATCAAGCCTCAAGTATCACCTCAATGCAAAACATATAGCAGCTAGCGTGGACGTTAGCCTCTTTTATCGCGTTCACACCAAAAAGAGCCGGAACTAAAATTAGTTCACGAGAACCTTTTTACTCCCACGAAAGTCCCTGCTAGAGAGCAGAGAGCTGCTAGAGAGCAGGGACTTTCGTACGGCTCTCTTGTGAGAAAAGAGCTATATTTCTGATTGGCTGGGCGGATTGCAAACCAGCCCCGTAAAACTCCCAAAAAGTTTTGTGAAGCCGCCATTTTATTATCCTCGCATTAGCATTATTAGCATTAGCATTAGCCCAGCGCAGAAACGCAGAGAGACTAACTTATGGCAACACAAAATAAAACATGGGAGCGGTGAAGATGAGGAGGTGTCGGCGTTCTGGCGATTTACTCGGAAGGCTGCTGGGACTCCCAGCAGCTTCTACTGAAGCCAGTCCCCAACTCCGGGGACTTCCGGCCGGGGACTTTGGGCGGCAGTATACGCCGTGAAGTGGTTTGCGGCCTGCCAGTAAACCCAAAGCAGAAGAAGAAGAAGTGACGTCAGCGGCTTAATTTGCCTAATCCACCCCCAGGTTCAAAGAGTTCTCATGAACTAAATTCTCATGAACCTTTGTGGGAAAAGTACTGCGGTGTGAATGCGCCTAATGGTATACTAAAATCCATGTGAAAAAAATTGCTTCTCACTGTTCTCAGGTCAAATATTTATATGTGATTAAAATTGCGATTAATTTCGATTAATTAATTACAAAGCCTCTAATTAATTAGATTAATTTTTTTAATCGAGTCCCGGCCCTAATTGTAATGTAACCATAATGTATAACTGGTATTATTGCATCCGCTCTTTACTGTCTGCCTTTGAATTTGTGTTAATTCAGCGCTATTATGTTTAGATGTACCTTTGTTTCCTTACTACATAAATGCCTAAACAGGAGGACCTTTAATGCTAATTTGGCATTAACTCCCCAAGATAAATGAGGGTGCAGAAGCCCCCCGGCAGGGAGAGACTGCCTGCATGCAGGTGAGTGATTCACCACAACCTTTACAAGGACAGATCTTTGAGTCTGAGCTTCTGTTTTTTGAAGGTATTTCTGCATACTGGCACTTTATCATTACTAGCTAGTTAACACAAGTATCCTTAGTAATTCTTCAATCTTTCATGCTTGGGATTCACTATTAGATACAGTTATGATTTTACAGGTGTCATAAAAAACAGTTGTTCAAAAACACCATGCCTCTGATTTACAAAAAATTCAGGTTGCTATAATAATAATAATATAATAATAATACATTTCAGTAATATAGCACACTTTAAAAACAATGTCATCTCAAGTTGCTTCACAATGCTATGAGGAGAAAATAATTTAAAAAAAAAGTGATCTAAGGTAATATGGTAATATAAAAAAGGTGAAGAGCATAAAAGGTTAGAATAAAGAGCTATCTATTTGCATTGCATGGCAGCTTTATTCTTGCAACAACATACAAAATATGAAGAAATATATTGGCTTCAAGTGATGCAGCCTGATGAACCAAACTAATTGTGTTTCACATCCCGCCTCAGAGACATCACATTAACACTCAGCGTGTGACTATTGTTTCTGTACATAATTGCACATGTCCTCTAAACTAAATACTGTTTTACAACACCATGCTCTTCATTGTTAAAACAGATATTCAGTATGTATTTCATATTTGTATTCTGAATTGTCCCATTGTATTTATGTTACATCACTGGTGCAGTTGTTTTGTGATTAGTTTAGAACCAAACATGCAAAAAAACACACCTTGGCATCAAACCTGATTCTGATTAAATGCAAATGTAACCCTGACAAATATTCTGCGTATGGGTTGAGTTATGAAGATCAGTTTCAAGCCAAGAAGTTTACAGACACTTTGCATGTTTTCTTGTAGGTAAAATTAGATGAACGAATGGCATTTTTCACTTTAGGCACTCTCTAATTGCAATAAAACACTGATTATTACCATAATTCGGTTGACATCAACATTTTCTTATAAGGACAAGAGTCAGTGTTAATGCTATAGTAATGCGTTCACCATGAGTCCAAATAAATTATATATTAAAATAGAAAACATTTCAAGCAGTTTTTCTCAGGCCATTAAAGATCTGTGATGGAAGGACACAGTCCTGTGATAATAAACACATTTAAGACTTTTCCTCTCATGTTACTTTCTGCTGCTTATATTTCAAAGGGAAACATCATTACATTTATTTGAGAGCTTAGGTTAATTTACACATCAAGAAGTTTGCATACAAAAATCTTATTAAATGTGTTTATTAATACATAAATGACAATGAAGAAGAAGAAGATATACTTTATTCATCCATTACAGGGAAATGTATTTCCCCACTCTGTTGTGTTTACACACATTACACACACAGGATATACATGCAGAAACACAAAGGATATACATGCACACACACAACCACATGCAGATAGGAGAAGTGGCAGAGCAGAGAGGCTGCCAGGTACCCGGCACCAATGGAGCAGTTTTGAGGTTAGGTGCCTTGCTCAAGGGCACCTCGGCCGTGGCCTTGGAGGTGAACTGGCACCTCTCCAGCTACCAGCTCACTCCATATTATGTTTTTTGGTCCAATCGGGACGTGAACCAGCGACCCTTTGGTTCCAAGACCAAGTCCCTACAGACTGAGCCGCTCAATGTATTGTTTCTATAAGATTGTTTTATTTTTTTATAGTTTTTGTAAATGTGTCACTTAAGACACCTAGGAATGCTGGGATTGGCGTTCATCACCATTTTCAATGTTCATTCAAACCAAACAATTGAATTGATTAAAGGAGGAAATTCAGATTATTCTACATGTGGGGTTGTATGAATTTATCCATAGTCTGTGTGTCACCTCCAGCTCAGTTACCAACACAGGAGCAAACAATGTGCTGCTGTTGACGGGGACAACAGCAGCACATTTACCTCAACACTTCTGAACTATTCCTTTAACATTTCAAGCAGCTTGTTTCTTAGTAACCTCAGTTCAGGTAAGGATTTGTGCAGGAAAAAAAAAGATTTTCCTCTGAAAACTTTTATTTGAATTAAATCCCTTAATTAAGTGTAATTCCAACAATGTGAGCATTCATTGACACAAATAATATAACCTTCATTATTATGTGTGAAAGCCTAAGTGCTTTTGAGGTCAAGTGTACATAGACAGTATTACAACATTAAAAAGACACATTCATTTATTATGCTTCACCAAAAACATGAATGAACATGGGAAAGCATGTTTACATCAATATATACTCATAATATGACACCTTTCATGTATCAAAAACATCAAGTAATGTGGGTACAATTGTGAAAACTCTCATGAATCTTGTGTACATTTAGCTAACAATGTGAGGGTTTAAATATCTGCCCCCGTGTTTTATTTCATTCATGAGAGCGGTGCCACATTGACGCAGTCTTCCACCATCTCAAACAGGACGTGGTGTGGGCTGGTACGTTGGGATATCTCCCTGGCCGTCTCCCCGCTGCCGCTGCGGAGCTCCGGCCTCAGGTGTAGCTGAGATAGCAGGAGCTCCAACGTGTTGGGGGAGTCTGTCATGAGGGGGGTGGTGTCGGAGGCGGCCAGGTGGAGCGCGGTGAGCCCCCCGTTGGTCTGGGCGTTCAGTTCGGCTCCATGTTTCAGGAGAAAACTTGCCACTTTGACGCGGCTCCAGCGGCAGGCGCTATGGAGGGGCGTCCAGCCGTCGTGGGTGCGAGGGTTCACCTTTGACCCCGCGGCGATTAAAGCAGAGACAGCGTCAACATGGCCGCTGTACGCTGCTCGGTGCAGGGGAGTGTATCCATCCTCATCACAGCTGTGCACCACCAACGGATCAGCAGTTACCACCCTTCGGATTGTGGAAACCTGTGAGAAAATGCAGAAACAGAGGTTTTTAGGAAACTAGAAATTGCTTCGAATAGTCTCATGAAAGATGGATTATCTTAAAGTTCACCTATTATGCAAAATCCTTTTATACATAAACATGTGTCCCCTCTGTGTAAAGAGATACTGAACATTTCAGGAAAAAATATTTGCTCACTTTTTGTCCTGATCCATTTATATAAAAACCTGTATGAAAATGAGCTGATCAGATTTTGGCCACTTTAGGTTCAAGGTTCTTTATTGTCAAACTAACATAGCTACAGAGTAATTATGTCGTTGAAAATCTTAGGTCACAGGCTTCTCCAACAATGCAACACAATAATACAGATAAGCAGACAATATTAAAGTATATTATATTAAAAGTAATACAAAAGAAAAATAGTTCTAAAAAAAGTGGAATAGTGCAATACGAGTCTATATACAAGTTATTGGAATGATATACAGTATTAGATAATAGATAAATAATTACTAAGTAGCAGATGAATGTTGTGATATTTTTTCAGCAGTTCAGGTGTTTAACAGTTTTATTGCCTGTGAGATGAAACTGTCTCTGGTGGTATTAGTCCGGATGCTGCGGTAACGCCTGCCAGACGGCAGCAGACTGAACAGTTTATGGCTGGGGTGATGGGGGTCTTTTATAATCCTGAGGGATTTCTTCCTGAGCCGCTTGGAGTAAAGATCCTCCATGGATGGCAGCTCCATCCTGGTGATGTTCTGTGCAGTTTTCACCACCCTCTGTAAAGCCTTACGATTGAGGGCGGTGCAGCTGCCGTACCAGGCCGTGATGCAGCCAGTCAGGATACTCTCTATGGTGCACCTATAGAAGTTGCAGAGTATCCTGGAGTCCATGATGAACCTCCTCAGCCTGCGGAGGAAGTCCGCTGTCGAGCTTTCTTGGTGATGGTGGTGGTGTGAAGAGTCCATGTCAGGTCCTCAGTGATGTGGACCCCAAGGAACCTGAAGCTGCTGACTCTCTCCACCGCAGTCCCATTGATGGCGACGGGGGCGTGTCCCTCTATCTGCTGCTTCCTGTAATCCACAATCAGCTCCTTTGTTTTGCTGACGTTAAGATGGAGGTTGTTATCCTGGCACCAAGATGTCAGTTTTCCGACCTCCTCTCTGTACGCCGTCTGTGATCTGGCCGATGACGGTCGTATCGTCAGCAAACTTCACGATGGTGTTGGAGCTGTGTATGGCCACGCAGTCGTGAGTGAACAGGGAGTACGATGATGTCATAACGATTTTTTGGCATGTGTAACGATTAGCTTAGCCAATAACCAACCAAGGTAACCCCCCCCCACCTTATCACCTGAATCTCCTCCTAGAGCACCATTGTGTTTTTTTTAACCAAATATCTCTCAGAGGGGCGTGGGGAGTGGCTCCTTATTTTCATCTAAAGTGACAGACAGAGAATCAGCACTTTTTTTTTCAGACTTTTTTTTATTGGGTTTTCAGACAAAAGTGCTAGTGGAGCACGCTCACTCGCTCAGGTACTGCGGAGCGCATAAAGCTTAGCAGACTCTTCACGCTAACGAAGGATCACTTCTTCTTCAGGGCAGGGAAGGCTACGCAGTAAGCAGTCTACTGTCCCTTAGCTGCTGCCTCTCTGTTGGGCTCCGGTACTGCACATTACTCACGAGACGTTGTAAAAAAAAAAATGAGTGGGGGAAGAACGCACTAACCACTCCGCCAACGCCACAGTCACCCCCGTCGTGCGGGCCGGATGAGAATGTCTGACGGGCCGGATGTGGCCCGCGGGTCGCGAGTTGATGGTCACTGTCCTACAGTGTCAAACCCTACCGGGCACGTTTCAGAAGCGGAGCGTCTTGCGTGCCGGCTCGCAGTTTTTGTTGATTTGAGCATATTTCCTGGACAGGCTACTTTGTACAGACAAAGTTAATAATAATTGTAATATTCCAGTTATAAACGACATGCATCAAAGATGTGTTGCTGTATTTTAGTGGTAAAAAAATGCATTCATCATCATAATTATTCTATATATATAATTTACACAGTGCCTGTAAACCGGAGGAGAACGCTGGCATTTCTCCTCCTACTTGAAAGACTACGGAGGGATAGGGTCTGTAAAATTAGTTTATTTGGGGGATTGACTGGATGCTCTGACCGGTCCACTTCCTGCCCGGCGCTATGCAACTCCTCGCGTCGCGTCGAAAATAGACCAGCCGCCTAATTTTAGCAGAGCCCAGTGCCGAGACACTTCTGGGACGCTTCCAGCCGTAACGCGGTGCGTCTGGTGGAATAGCATCCATTGACTAGAGTGGCCGCGATTTTGTTGTGAACGCCGCGGCGCAGCCGTAACTTGGCCGTATAAAGTTTGACAGTCCGGGATAGTATCAACGGTCATTTTATCAGTATATGCAAAAAATTGTCGCCATGTCTTCTTAAAACTAGCAGACGACCCTATCAGCGTACGTACATCACATTTTTTCCATATTAACAAAGACAAATATATCTCTAATCCAGTCCTGATGGGCAGGTGAAGCTGGGGATTTCCACTTGAGTAGAATCAAGCGTCTAGCTAAGAAGGTAACAAAAGCTACAAAGTTCTACTTATAATTTGGCATTGCAGGCCTAATGATGACTCCGAATAAGGCAATGATTGCAGAAGGCTTGACAGAGACAGAGATAACCAGCGATATTGTATTGAATATTTCTGACCAAAAGTTATGCAGAGAGGGGCAAGTCCAAAACATATGGATGTAGGTAGCTGGGATTAACGGCATCTATCGCAGACAGGATCAACACAGTCATATTTTGGATAACCTCACCTTAGTTAAGTGATAGCAATGAAGAACCTTACACTGAAGCGATCCATGCCTAGCAGAGATGGAGGAGGAGTGAACCCGTCTCAGACACTCATTCCAAACATCTTCTTCTTCAATTTCAAATTGTATCACCCTCCCATTGTGTTTTAATAGTGTGCAGTGAGACAGGGTTTAGAGAGTGGATGACACCTCCAAACAACATTTATTTAATTTTTTATCCTAATACAGTCCATTTTGAACATAATGAATTTTGAGTAAACGAGGTTAGGGCAGATTTGGTCCCCCCCAAAGTGAAGCTTTCTTTAAATATCCACAGGGTGCTTATTGTTCCTCATGGACCTTGAGAGGTTTCAGGGTTCATTAAATGTGTTCGCTCTATGTTAACCACTCTCGCCGTGCCATGTATTTCCTTTGCAAAGGACAGTACTTAACTTTTAGCCATCCCTGCTTATACAAGGAGTAGTTTTAGTTGTCTGCGATCTGCAGAGGCCTACCTATGAGTACGGCTGTACTGAGGTGTTTTTCCTCCGGAGACGGAGCGAAGAGACGGAGCGGCTCCACCTGTTGCTGCATGCGATCTGCGATTTACGGAGGCCTGCTCGTCGCGAAGAGACGGAGCGGCTCCACCTGTTGCTTTCTGCGATCTGGGATCTGCGATCTACGGAGGCCTGCTCCCACCTGTAGAGTTCGGCTGTACTGGAGAGGTTTTTACCCCGGAGACGTCGCGGAGAGACGGAGCAGCTCTACCTGTTGCTGCCTGCGATCTGCGATCTACGGAGGCCTGCTCCCACCTGCACGGCTGCACTGGAGAGGTTTTTACCCCGGAGTCTTCGCGGAGAGACGGAGTGGATCCACGCTTCGGGCTTGGCCTGCTTCCACCGGGCGTGTGCTGCTGTACGGAGGAGGATTTTACCACGGCTGAGGCCTGCTTTCCACCTGTCCTGGTTCTGCTGTCGCAGAGGCCTGCTTTCACCCCGGGGATACCACGCTGCTGCTTTCGCCTGTCCTTTGCTGCTGTGCTGATTTTGCTCCAGGAACATCGCGGTTCCCTGGTCTGGGAAAATGGCCCATATCGGGATTCTGCTGTGCCTGTTAACTATTTTGGACTATGAGAAGATCTCTAGTCATTCTGAGGAGTCTACTGGATTCAGGTCTGTTCTGCCACCCGCAGTGGGCATCCCCTGCAAAGGTTCGGATGTGTTACACAAACAATTACCGGTTGCCTTGTCACAGTCAATCTGCTCAACAAAATATGTTTGTCTTTTTTGTTTTCCTGCGATGATGGTTCTTCAGGACTGCTTCTTAAGCTCTAATCACACTCTTGCAGACTTTTCCGGTGATTCTAAAGTAGATGACAATGTATGTGTGTCGCTTAAGAGGAAAAGATGCCTGGTTTTGTTGTTGTTATTACTGTCAGGAAATGTACAACCTAACCCTGGTCCGCCCAGTAGTAGTAGTCAGATCGCTACTCCTGCTGATTTTAAAGCTAGGTCTGGGTTGGGTTTCATCCACTTGAATGTGCGCAGTCTGTTAGGTAAACTAGATTTTGTCCGTATCTGGGCGAGCTCGACTGACGCTGACGTCATTGTTTTATCAGAAACATGGCTAAACAAATCTATTTTGGCCTCTGACATTGCCTTAAATGGTTTTAATGTGTATCGTACCGACCGGCCTAATAAAGGGGGCGGCGTTGCCATTTATGTTAAGAATAAGTTCAGTGTAACCGCTGTAGTTTCCAAATCTATCAGTAAGCAATTTGAATTTTTAGCCTTAAATATAGAAGTGGCAAAGGGTCAACAGGTCATGGTCGTGGGCTGTTACAGACCCCCCTCAGCTGTCAAAGACTCCTTGTCTTCGCTAGCAAATCTTTTATCACAACTAGACTACAAGGAAATAGTGCTACTTGGAGATTTTAACTGGGACTGGTTAACTGCAGTGTCAGAGGATTTTAAAAACCTTTGTATCTCTTTAAATGTTACTCAGATTGTTGACAGTCCTACTCGCCCTAATATTAAGTCCCCAAATAAATCCTCCCTAATTGATCTCATTTTAACTAATGTTCCCTATAAATACTCAGCTGTGGGAGTGTTTGCGAATGATCTGAGTGACCACTGTGTTGTAGCCACAATTAGGGACACTAAGGTCCAAAAGGTTAAACCTCGTATTATCATCAAGAGAGACATAAAACATTTTGTG